TTTTGTGTATTCATGCAAGTAAACCTCAAAGCAATAATATGTCCCACTATAAAATATAATTCTGATTATTAACAATTAATTATACATTTTAGTGAGAAAATTACTGCACCTTAATCCTCTCTAAGCACTTTTTGGCAAAAATAATCACAAAATATACTAAATTTGTCTTCAGGGACAGCTTGATTCTTAAAACATTCAAGTTATAGAAAATGAACTTGAGACATTATATGTTATTGTCTGTAGTCGATTCTTTGGCACTCATCTATTTAAAAACAGATAATAAATAGCATTTAGACAGTCGTGAATGAAATTATTAGTGCCATTGACTTCAAAAGATGATGATTTTCAAGTGTTCATTGTAAATTAAGAATAGCGCTGGAAGCAGATCACATAAAGTCACAGTTACCTTTGCAGTTCATCTCATTTCCAGTCTCATAATCATTTTGAGTTTAAAAATGAAATACCTTATCACCAAAAAAAAGAAAAAAAAAAAAAAAAAAGATAAACTGGAATATTGTGACAGTGAGAAAGAGTTGAGTGAACCCAAAATGAGGACTACTAGAAGTCCATATCATAAGCATAGCTTGTCTCAGAGGCTTTTGGCCTTACTGCCACAGTACGAGCTAGGCATAGATGAAGTTGCAGGTAAAAAATTTAGATGAGTTCTTTATAATATTTTCAGCAACAAAGAATCTAGCTGCATAAGTACTTTCCAAAGTTGGTATATATGGTATTAAATTTCTCTCCCTAAAGACGGAGGTGTGGAATCTGCAGAAGAGTAAGGCAAAAGTACATCAGGATTTGGCTTATATAGATGAGTGCTTATACATACATGAGTGCCTTTAAGGAGCTATGACTCTTCAGTTTCCAATTACTGAACCTTCAGCTGAAATGTAGAATATGAGCATGTGAATACTCATTTTTTCTGTGCCCATGCAAAGTGACATGAGGTAGTTTAAATATCTGTCTCAGAAATGGTAACTTGGTTCACAMTATGTCACAGATATTCATTCTATTATATTCTCACCTCACTTAATCAAGAGTTTGGCAAAAAAAATGCACTTTGAATGTTGCAAATGACTTACAAGAAATCGAAGCATAATATGGGTCTTCTCAGTTGAGTTAGAAGTTAGAAAAGTTGGAAAAACTTTTGTCTCCCGGATTACTGTAATAGTAATTCTGGGGAAATCATAAATGTATCTACAAATTGCATTCTGTTGATTACTGACTGCATGATTAATTCCTTGAATCACATTTTAATATCTTAATATAATGTTTGAGATTTTGAAAATTTGACAAACAATTGCATTAGAAAAAAAAAGAAACTGAAACATTAACTGAATGTTTTCATTAATTTAAAACATTGTTTATGTCCCTTCTCTTTTAAAGTACATTTTTAACAAACACACAAAAACAAAACAAATAAAACAAACAAAACAAACAAACAAAAAAAAAACCAAAAACAAAAAAACAAACACAAAATCCAGAACTGTATGAAAGCAAAAAAAGATAAGGAATTTTGATGCTATTATCCCTTTCCCCAGTAGTTCCTGTAACTCTAAGTTTGGAAAGCTACAAATGAAATCTCGCATAATACAAGATTTGTCCACATAAGTCTTACAGTAACATCTTATTAAGTCTTAAAGTAACATCTTAGTTTTTACATCTATTGCCCTAATATTATACTTTTTTATTATTTATGTATTTATATTAAAATTATACAGTTTCATGCATACATTTCCAATGGTTGTATTTTAAAATGAGCAGAATAAACTTCTCTTTTAGTAATTTTAAATAGATATTTAATATTATAGAAATTACATAAGAGACAATCAGACAAGAGTTCAAGCAACTTCACAGGAAGTATTATTCATACACCACAGTCAATTACCTAATTAGTAAATCAATGCATATAGAAAAATGGGGAATAAATCTAAGATCTACAGTGGCTTAAAATATATAAATATCATTTATCTATTTAACAAAGCTTTATGTGGTTCTGTTTGTTGTGGTACTTCAGCTGATTATATATATTTTCCTATTTAAGATCATTAGAATATATATGAGTTTATTATACTATTTAACTAATACTAATACCATATATTATAAGTTTATTAGAATACATTCTCTAAATGTTATGAAGCAATAAATTAAAAATTCAACATAAAAAAGAAAATATGATAGGAAAAAAGACTATTTATATGACCACTACTCAGCTCTAGAATACAAATATTTAATTGCTTTATAACTAGGCACCATTTACTTGGCATTGAATGAAAAAAATAAACCCCATTTAGTTTGTTTGTTTTTATGAAAAAGTACATATGGATTTCTTAATAGTGAAAATGATGAAGCAGGCTGGACGATGTGAAAAATCAAAAAATCATAATCCTTATTAACAAAGGATAAAAAGAGGTACCAGAGATGAAACAGAATGAAAACTTCATATAGAAAATCTTTGTTGAGATGATGAGAAAATAAGACATTTTGAAAGTGGGTCACATTTCTCTCAGAATTTGTGAGATAAACTTTGAAGATGCATTCTGTAGTGAACAAAAATGTCTCTGCCTAACTCACTTCCAATTTGTTTAATTTAAATATTTAACTCAAGAGGCTCAGGCGAAACACAATAAATGTGTCAAATATTGGTATTAAAATGCAGTTACTATGCTAATTTACTAACCATGCCTGAAAGTATAAACACAGCTTTTATAGGTGGAAATATCCAGAAGTTTGAGATGAGAAGTAAGGAGAACTGATTTTGAAATCACTGAATTCTATTCTAATCAATGCTTTTCATGTGAAATCATAGAATCATAGAATGCTTGAGGTTGGAAGGCCAACCTTAAGCATCATCAATCTCAATAGAAACCCAGTAGTTTGATATTGTGAGATCTGGGATCCTGACTATCAAACATGTTGACTAAGCTCTTTGTTTACTTCAGAAAGCTACAAGAAAGAGTAAAAAATTCAGCAGATACACCAGGGACAATTTCTCATCTCTTTTCCTAGCAAAGGCAGAAAGGATAGTTCTTTACCTAAACTTCCTCTATCAAATTCACAATTTGGCCAAGTGCAGAATTCTTCATACTCTTTGTAAAAGAAACAGCTTCAGCTACGTTAGAAGAACTCATGAAAGTCTCCTCCAATCTTCAGTGAATAGATGCTCTGTCTCCAGTACTAATAACACAGTTAAGGAGAACAGAAGGATCTGTGAAGAATCTGGTGCTTAGGACTCAACAGCCACACTATATGCTAACCAAAAGCAGGTTATTTTTTATATGTTTGAGGCAAGTGCCATAGGCTGATGGTCTGTTTGCTGTGGTTTTGATGTGTGTATTTCAGCTTCAGCTTCCATGGGAGGAGTCCATATTGTATACTCTGAAAGCATGTTTTTATTCTATAATATGAGGCACAAAATAAGCAAGAATGCCTATGCTAATACCTTACTTTTTTTCCATGCTTATGTGTCTTGTCATATTACTTGTCTCCTAAAGCTTTTTGCTCTTAAAGTTTATATTCATTTCCCATAATGATATCAATTTTCCTTTTTTTTTTTTTCAGTTTAACTTCCTTTTCCTTTTAGTTCCTTCAAGTTCCTTTTCAATTTAAGTTTTAGATAGTTTTGCATTTTCCCTAGTGCATTCTAAATTGTGTATATCAACTACATATCTCCATCATTTACAAAGAAGATTGAGTTATTCATCAGTCCTGTAAAAAAAAGTAGCTTACTGAGCTATTGGTTGACTGGATAACTACTGGAATATCAGTATCATTTTCTAAATCAAACACACTGTATTCTACAAATATGTACAGAAAACATCTTACATAGGTAAAAAAAATAAGTATTCACACATATACATTGTATATACCCATGCACACATATGCATATATATATCTACTGCACTTGAGGTAGACCAACAATTTCCACAATATATTATGATTTTTTTTTATTTATTATAGATGAAACTTGTATATGAGCATTCCACTATACACTTTGATTAATTTGGATATATAGAAATATACAAATGCATTTTTCTTTCATTGGCTAAGTTTGATTTTCTTTTCTTTTCGTAACTTTCTATACTTTTCACTCTAATCTATATTTCCAGGAAATAGCAGGATAACTTTAAACTAGTGCTTAGTGCTCTAGTGATCATGTAGCCATTTTTCAAGGCTTTGTTCTTCATTTGGCTGATCAGGCAACTAGAGCATGGGATTTGCATACTGTAAAACTGACAAGAAATAGCCATGAAATAATTTTGCAGCTCAAACACCTGAACAAATATGAGTAGAGGGAATTGCATAGCTGAGGAAAAAAAAAAATCTGTAATAAAATATCAGTGACTGTCAGAATTCCTGTCAATGAAGTATGTTTATAGTTATAGACTTTTCTGTTGAAAATAATAATAATAAATAGTATTTTTATTAATAAAAAAATTCAATTTACTGAGTTCTGTTGTGCTTTTATCACAACAAAATCATTATTCAGTTTGTTAAGAAAATAAAAATAACTAATATTTTCAGCTTGTTCGTTCCTACTTTCTTTGAGATTAATCACATCTTATGCATATTTAAAATATAATATTGTGTATAGATTATACAAGCATATTTCACTATATTTTGGTACAAGGATTGTCATTAGAATATATCAGCATCTACTTCTGGCTGCAGTATGTTCAGAAAATCTTTAAAGATGGCAAAAAGAAATTAGAGACCAAAGCATTATCAATCCTTTCAATACAGCTTTCAGGCCTAATCATGCTAGCTTGAAATTAAATGAGAATTTTATTAATGACTTAAAGTGACAATATTCAGCAGCAGGACTTACTATTCCTCTTCCATCTCACTAAAGTTCACCTGCAGCCTGCAAACAGAAAGCTCTCTTAGTTAATTGGACATTTCTACATTACCTGTGTACTCAAGATGAAAGCCAGCAGCTGAAACACTAATGTCAGACTGAAAGTTTAGGTACAAATTGTTTGACGTGCTGTTGAGAAGTGGAGGTATGGTTGTCCCTAAAAAGAGAAAATAAAATATTACTGAAATGCACAGAAACTGAAATACACACATAAATGTGCATTTCACATTAGGTCTATATGTAAAAAAGAGAGAAAGAATGAGAGTAAGACAGAGTGAGAGAGAAAGAGAAGTCATGTAACTAATTCCATGACATTTTGTCGTCTTGGGTGGTGAATTATCTATTTCTATCTGTCCTTGTAAGAATCTTGTTGTATTTTCAGGGTACCACAACATCAGATGATGAACTATGGGCATTCAGGGAAGAAGAGTCTAAGTAAATTTATAACACATGCTTTCATCAAAAAAGGAGAAATAAATCAAAAGCATGAATCTAGTCTGACTTTAAAAGTTCCATGTAAATATACCAAGTTACTTTGAGCTTATTACGTAGGGCTGTTGCTAGAAATGCAATGAATTCCTTATATGTGGTTAATGGTTTGAGCAAATGTTAATGAGAAATTTTGAATGGCAAGACAGCAATCTTAAATAGTCATTTTCTGTACATATGAATGTAAAGGGGAAAAAAAAAAAAAAAAGACAAGCAGAACTGTCTTGATTACCTACAATAAGGAATGCATCCGTCAGTCATACATAATGTCATGAATCATATCTGTTAGCAGCCTATGTTTCTGGACTCTGCTATAAGAGCAAATGAATCTTGATACTAATAAAAGATGATGTCTAGAATATTATGTCTGTAACCTGGAAACCTTAGAATGCTATTTTTTTCTTTTTCTCTTTTTAATGAAAATCTACTGGAAGATGACTGTTCACTAAAATTCTATTACTACAATATAACCTGTTATTGATAATAGGAGAAACAAACACAGAAAAAAAATCTAGAAAGAGATAAAGGAAGAGTTATACTTCTGAAACACTTATTGTAAAATCTTAGTCACCTGAATAACTTCCAAGCCTTGGAGCATTGTTGTCAGCACCATCGTAAAAGTCTAAAGAATCCCAGTTGTGTTCTGTGGCAAAACTCACCACTTGCACCTATCAAGAAAAATGTCAGGTAAAGAACATAAACTTCTTTTTCACTATACACAGTACAAAGACTGTAAATTGTAACCTCTGTTATTTTCAATCACACAAAAAAATTGGGTTTTGTTTTGTTCTGTTTTTTTTTTTCCTGTAACTTTCAAATAGAATGGAAAATAAGCATTGTGAATAAAATTGCATTCTAACTTTTTAAAGAAAAATTAATTGCCATTTCAGACTTTTAAATTCCACGAGCCTTAGGCACAACTACATATCACCTCTGAAATGAGTCACAGAACCACAAGAATCATCTGGGTATAGAATACGGTTCCCTAATTTGGAGGACATTGAGTGAAAAACAAGAGACAAGATCACCAATTACTGCATTTTTTTTTCCTCACTATTTTATCCCTGGCTATAGCAGTATGATTTAACTTCATTTATCTTGCCTTGTTCACTCCTGCCTTTTGGTAAGAGCAACCTCCTGTATTTGGTGACCTTCATCATTGACTCTCCTTCTGAGGAGAAACCATCACTTCTGCTGCAAGCAGAAGGCAGAATATTCACTTTATCTCTTCCGGAGGTGACAGCATCCTTCCTTATATGAAGAAATTGAAAGTTGGAAGCAGATATTGTGCAAGAGGGAGTATAATTTTTTTGTGGTGTAATGACAGCACTCACTACAATTCAGAGAAATACTAGTTCCACTGTCCCTGTCCACTTTACTCTTTTGGAAGGTATGGATTTTTTTTCTTAGTAAAGTAGTTGTTTAACAAAACATGTTTGAACATCTACAGAAGCAAGGATGCATCTCAAGCCACCCTTTCATATGAACACCTTTGCCACTTGGTTACGGGACCATGTTTCTTTTCCTCTCATTTATTACTTTTTCTTCAAAATGGAAATACTTCAACAGAAGAAGTGACTGTTGCAGATACAATATTAAAGATACAATTCTAGGTGGAGTTAGACCTTCTAACTGAAGGAAATGCTGAGTTCAGCCCCCCGTTTCATAGACAGGACTTATCACTTTGCTTTTAATTGATCAGGTTCAACAGGCAGAGGATGACTTTTTTAAAAATGTTTGTGTGTTTCAGTTGCTTGGAGAAGGCTGAATCTGACATGTTGGAGAACATCAAAACCTCTCTGTTTATTTTTTTGATTCACAAAGAGTATAGGTGAAAGTTATGTGCTGTTACTATGTCAGGAATATTTCTGAAAATAAACATAATTGAAAATGCAGGTACCCAAGTCTCTTTCAGAGCAAATTTGGAAATAACCCATACTTTTTATGTGTATTCAGGGCTAGACATGTCCACTACTTTTAGATTAGGCACGAAACACCTTATTTTAAATACCTATTTTTAGTACAAGTTAAACTAGTCTCCTTAAATTTCTTGTATAATCAGTAAAGAGAAAGAAATAATTTCTGGCAGTGATCTGGAGCAACAGGAATATGCATATATTTCTTTTGTCTCCTTTAAAAAAGAGAAAAGTATCTCCATTACTTTGAAGGAATAAATATTAATCTGATAAAATCCATGTATTTTACACTTTTTCATATTTTGACATAAATAGAATATTAACTACCAAAGTATCTTGAATAACCACATTTATATTCTCAGGTTGGATAAAATCAAACTCAGTTCTTAAAATGGTTGGTAAAAATAGTATGATGAATTACTATGTCTTAGTGATCTTACAGCAGGTGTGCTCAGTTTATTGTATCAAGGACTTTTATCTTACTCAAAGCTAGCCTTGAAATCAGGCAGGATTCAGAGGACCAGGACAATAATCGTGCTTCATGAATGTCCTTTTTCATCAGCAATATGCAAGGTTCTGCACATTGAATTATACATTGAATTTTATGCATGCCCATAAAAATTCCTTGTTATTACATTTCTACAAGTATGAATAAATGATCCACAATGGAAAGAAAGGCTGTTTTACAGTAGTCCACTTAGCTGGAAAAGCTCTGGACAACAAGAAGTAAAAAGAGTAAATATATTTTTTTATTATGACTCTGGACCAAAACATTATCATGTAGGTTAGACACTTAAAATCAGAGTTAGCAGTTCGGTCACCTACTGCACAATAAAAGAAAACATTTCTAAAACGCAAATATGTGTGCTTAAGTCAGAACAGCAATTAATGTCTAGCTTAGATACTCTGATCTATCCTTCTACAGTTTAATTTTCATTACTGAGATTCCAGCAATTCCAGTATTTCAAGACAGCTATGTCTAGAGTAGAAATAATCTCTTCAATTTTATTCTTAATCTGCATTCTTAATCTACTCTATTCTTAATCTATTCTTAATCTACATTTCAGTAAATTAGAATTTTGTTAGCATTGAAATGACCCATTCACACCTTATGTTGAAATATATTGAAATATCTTTAAGTCACGTCAAACATTTATAATTGTATAATAAATGACAGAAAAGGTTTCTTGGAAAGCATGTATAGCCTGCTTATGAAAAGAGTGAATTTAACTCCACTCTGTTGAAAAGAAAATTATTCATTTTTGGGGGAAGGAATAAACATAGAAGCTCCTCTCTGTTGATCTTGTCAGATTCTTTCATCAGGAGAAACAGTTTTGAGCATGATAATGACGGCAAGGAGATAGTATGCTTACTTGAATTCCAGCTCCCTCTGGTACTGTGATCTTCCACACACAATTCAGATTGTTGTCATAAGGCTCAGGGTAACCAGGAGACAAAATGGTCCCTTTGCGCTTTGTTAAAATTCCACCACAGGGCACTGAAAGAAAATGTGCAAGGCAAGAAGAGAAGTATGAAGCCTCAGATGTAAGAGAAGTTATTATAAAAGCTTACATAGTTTCCTCATACCATTGCTGAAAACTTTTGCAAATTTATGCTATAATTAAAAACCTCAGGAAAACAAAATCTTATATCTCAGAAAATTTTGTTTCAAATAACCAAAAAAGATTAAGAAAAAATTTAAATTCTGATTTTTTTTCTGCTTAATATATTTTTCAATCTCTCCTTGACCTTTAGAAAAGTATAATCCATGTTATTGGGTCCTAGTAATCTGATGAATATATATTATTGTTAACTGTTAAGAAGGAAATTTGAACAATTACATATTGTGTTAGTATAAAAGACCAAAAAAAAAGGCAAAAGATTTTTTTTTTTTAATATTTCTACTTTGTTGTTTAAGTGAATAATAGTACCAGTTTCAAGACCTTGATTATTCTCTTTGCTTTTGTGAGGTCAGGGTCATTACAGACTACGGATCAATCATATTACAAAGAAATTGGTAAATGCTTGCATGACTGCACTCATCATATCCATATCTATGGATTAATAGAAATCTTATGCATGAAATATGATAGACACATTCAGTACCATTAGGTTTCTTTTCTGAATGCTCAACTTGAATGTATCTAGTCTAGAACTTTAGATATTCTTACAGTGACAAAGAAATCTAGATATAGATATTCTGTTGGTATATAAGAAGCTTAAGGAAAAGATTGATGAGAAGTTTTATCAAAATCTTTAAAATCTAATGGATTATTTCTACACAACACTAGCAAGTTCTAAATTGATTTAATCAGATACAAATATGAGGATTCATAAAATAGGTAGAGGAGCGCAACTCCTCCAGTTGCTAGAGGAGTATTCATAGTAATGAATACTGTAGCTAAGTTTTATATAATATATAATTAATAGAATCTGTCTAGAACTACATGGATAAACTAAAGGCCACTGTGTCTTAAATTCTGAAAAGAATAACTCATAACTAGATTCCCAGACAGAATTATTGTTGTCTTCTATCTTTTAAAAAAAAAAAAAAAAAAAAAAAGCATTCATTATAGTTAAGGCAATTTAGTACAGGTGTGTATCACTTCAATTATTAAACTGATTTATTTTAAAGAAATTTTCACTTCATATATATTTTGTGACCTTTATTGGCACAATGATTTTCAGATATAACAAATAATTTTGGCCTGTAACCTTTCTCAATTCAACTGCTCTAGAGCCAGGTAGTTTAATATACCAATAAAATATTGTAGTCAATGACCAAAATACTTATGTCAATGTTCTGTTGAACTGTTACATCCAAAAACCAAAAGGTATTTATTACATGGGGATAAATAGTACACTGATTACACTGATGAAATCGCTTATCTATTTTATCTGTTTATCTAAATTGTTGTCTCTTGTTTGTCCTGCGAATTGAGTTCTTCAGATGACTTCGTGTTCAGATTGTATTTAATGAATTCAGTTTGCACAAAATTAATATATAATGCAGTTAATACTGTTACAGACATTAAAGGTGAAAAATATGGTGATGTAAAAGCATCCCTGGAAATGCTAGCCAGTTTGGATTAATTTATACACATTTCTTTTTTTTCTATATTAGGAGGAAAAGAAGCACATTAAACTCCATTAAAGCATAATATGTAAATCAAAACATACAATGTTCCATATCTGTCCTTGATGTAAACCTGAGGAAGAAGAGAGAAAGTACTAATAGAATTTTATGTATTTACTCTAGGGTTGGTCAGCCCAGTCAGCTAGATTTCAAAAGAATGCAAATCAGTTTATTAATGCCAATAGACACACTATAATATAAGAATATAATTTTGAGAATTTAATCTTGTGTGATTAAAAGTAGACAAAATGTATTTTCTGCTCTAGAAAATYACTGCTTTTTATGACACAGAATCACAGAACATTCAAGGTTGGAAGGGACCTCTAGAGATCATCTAGTCCAACCTTCCTGCTCAAGCAGGCACACCTAAAGCATGTGGCACAGGGTGGCATCCAGGAGGGTTCTGAAGACCTCCAGAGAAGGAGAATCCACAACCTTCCTGGGCAGTCTGTTCCACTGATCTGTCACCCTTCAGTGAAGAGGTTCCTCCTCACCTGGAGATGGAACTTCCTGTGTTTCAGCTTATGCCCATTTCCCCGTGTCCTATCGCTGGCCACCACTGAGAAGAGCCTGGTCCCTTCTTCCCTACATTCTCCCTTCCTGAACTTATATATGTTAATCAGATCCCCTCTCAGCCTTCTCTTCTCCAGAGAAAACAGGCTCAGCTCACTCAGCCTCTCCTCATACGAGAGATGTTCCATTCCCTTAATCATCATAGTTGCTCTTCTCTGGACCCTCTCTAGGACCTCCACATCCCTCTTATACTGTGGAGCCCAGAACTGCACACAATATTCCAGGTGTGGCCTCACCAGAGCTGAGTAGAGGGGCAGAATCACCTCCCTTGACCTGCTGGCAACATCCTCCTGATGCAGGCCAGGATCCCATTGGCCTTCTTGGCCACGAGGGCACACTGCTGACTCATGGTTAACTTGGTGTCAACCAGGACTCCCACATCCCTCTCTGTGGAGCTGTTTTCCAGCATGTCGACCCCTAATCTGTACTGATGCCTCGGGTTATTCCTCCCCAGGTACAGGACCCTGCACTTGTCCTTATTGAACCTCATGRGGTTCCTCTCTGCCCAACTCACCAGTCTGTCCAGGTCCCTCTGGATGGCAGCACAGCCCTCCGGAGTGTCGGCCACTCCACCCAGCTTGGTGTCATCCGCAAACTTGCTCAGGGTGCATTCAGTGCCCTCGTCCAGGTCATTGATGAACAAGTTGAACAGCACCGGGCCCAGTACAGACCCCTGGGGGACACCACTGGCCACAGGCCTCCAATTGGACTCGGCCTCATTTATCACCACCCTCTGAACTCTGCCATCCAGCGCTCAATCCACCTCACCGTGCACTCATCTAGTCCAGTCTCCGGGAACTTCCATATGAAGATATTATGGGAGACGGTGTCAAAAGCCTTGCTGAAGTCAAGGTAGACGACATCCACGGCTCTTCCCTCGTAATATTAGATTAACTATTTCTAACTCTTTAATACAGTAGCACTGTTCATAATAATTTGCAATATCTTGTCAAAGATTTGAAGGGTGAGAGCATTTTAGTCTTGCAGGCAGAGAGCGCTGCTTCGGAGACTTGATTAAGGCACAACCAGGGCTTGTCACTGATGTTAATGTAAAAGAAGCTAACGTATAATTTATAGCAGCAGGGTACCTTCGTGAAACTAGTGAAATGTCATAGCAACATAGAATAGAAATAGCAATAGAAAGAGGAATAACATCTTAACCTTGAATGAAGATGAAAGGGAATAAAAACAAGCAGGATGACAAAGAGAGAACACATTTAAGCAGAGGTAATGATCTGTACTTTAGGCAATAATTAGTTCTACAAAAAAAAAAAAGCTTTAAGAACTCACCAACACATGTAGGGAGAGAATCATTCCACTGTGCCAATGCATTTGGTACAGTATCACATCTAATTGCTGTTGACCCATGGAGGATATATCCTGGATTGCACTCAAAAAGAACCAGTGAACCAACTGCAAATTCATTACCAATTCTTTTTCCAAATCTTGGTTCAGGCACAGAGCTGCACTGTGTAGCACTTGTTCTTGGAACAGCTGCAAAAATATAATTAATTTTGGAATCCTAATTTTATACTTGGTGGAGGAATACAGGTTTTGAAACACGAATATTGAAAATCTTTAGAAGTATCATTCTATTACATGCCAGTTCAGAATATCTGCATAATCCCTAAATGAATGTTCAGAATAGGGATTGTGTACTTTTTATGTTCTTCTAACCTTCTAACGCATGGTTTCCAAGTAATATTTATGTGTCAGATAAAATTTATATTTATTCCCGTGGATTTCTGAATATGGACTCTGCCTGTCAGATCAGGATTCAAATTTAATGGAAGAATGAGTTACAGTTGCAAGTATTAGTGCATAATCTTTTCCATGTCTTATCCATAAAAGAGCAAATAATGCAAATCAAGAGAAGTATCTTAATAACAGAAAGCTCACTGATTCACCCACAGGTAATATTATTTCCAGATATTCATATTTAAATGGAAAGATATGCCAGTTTAGCAGTCAGATGGATCAAACACCAGTCAGCCAGGCTAACAAAGCCAGAAACATCTGTTTTGTAAAACTATCATCTTAAATTTGAAATCACTCCCATACCTCTTAAGTATCTGATTTAATCTTTAAAATATGGATAAAAGAATGGTGCTGAAAAACCTGCAGAAATAGTGAAATATATCAACAGGCTACAGTCATTATCACCAGCATGCCACTTTTCTCTGTATTCTGTATTCCTTTCTGATTTGGTTTGTAAATAGAAAAATTAACTTACACATATTTTCAGACTGTCTCACCTTGATAAACAAAATGAAATCCTTTAGCTGTTACTGGTCCAACTGAAGTAAATCTAACCGTGATCTGGTTACCTGAGCTCAATGGAAGGGATTCACCTACTCAAACAAAGCAAATAAAAAGCTATCATAACCCGTTTCTAGTAAAATGCACTAAAAATGCCTATCAGTATTTTTGCAAATAGAAGATAATCAAAAATATCTTCCGTTTAGTAACTTTGAGATATACATATGATATATTCTACTTATTCTAGAAGAGGGAGACTGAAACCCATCTCAGTTATTAGAAAGCGGGTTTTCCTCCTTTTCAAGAATAACAGAAAAGATCTCCTGAAGACAACATGCATGTAATATATGAAACTTAACCTTGCTATAAACATACTTTAATTTCCATATAAACATGTAATGTCCATTTCAGATTGTTTATTAAATAAAAAAGTCATAAGAGCACAAAGTAAGACATTGCAATTAGTATAATTATTAAAGAAGAAAAAAAATAGGTTAAACTTAGCCTTAGTTCCTTCATTGTCACAAACTTGTTAGTAGTTATGAGTTTACAGTAAAATACTGACTCTTTATATTTTTATAAATTTACTCTAAAAAATACCTGACAATATTTTTTATTTATTTATTTGTTTTTATCTATACATTCTGTCTAGCTTTATGCAGAATGAACAGTATTTTAATAAGAGTTCTATTAAGGGATACCTGAATGAGATCCTGAAAGGGAGGATAACAAAGAAGCCTGAAGAGTTGGGCCATCATATACTTCGACCACATCATGAAGTGATGTCTGGAAAAACACAAACTGGCCAAAAACCACTGATCAAACAGGAAAAGGAAAAAAAAAAGGAAAAAAAAAAAAAAAAAGAACAAGTGGCAACAAATGCCAAAGAAAAAGAGTGACAGAATGAGAAAGTAAAAATAACCCCCCCGGCAAAAAAAAAGAGAGAGAGAGAAAGAGAGAGAGAGAGAAAGCATATTAACAAAATTAACAGAGTGTTTTTAAAATATCTTTTATTGTGAAGGATAGATATTAGTTGATTTTCCTGAATAGTTAATTTAAGTAACTGTCTCGGTCACAACATAAGATCAGTAGATCTTACGTGTGGTAGTGCATATAGAGGCTAAAAGTGTGGTAGTGCATATAGAATAAAAATGCAACAAATGTAGACATATTTATTCATATAAAAATTAATAATGAGGGAAAAACATGCTTTTGAATATATTTTCAAATTTTCTGCTTTCCTCCATTAAATTCTCAGTACTTTTAGAATTGTAGCCATACTTTGATATACCAATTTTTATTTACTCATTTTGTTGATAATGCCTGTAAGTTTCACTTACCTTGGACTGTTTTATTTTCCTTAAGAATGTTAATGTTCATTGCAACTTTCACTTTTGTGATATGTGAGGAAAAAACTAATTCAAAACAGCAATATCCTTGTAAATTTATCTGATACCATTCTGAATCACACACACACACACATACACAAGTTTCTTGTTTTTTAAAATTCTGCTAGATGAAACAACTCAATGAAAGGTGTTATTTTTCCACTGAAATCCAGAAATCTGTTCAGCACATTTACACTACAGATTTTATCGCTTTTAATATATGTAAACATCTAGAAGGAAAAGGAAATGAATTCCTATGTCACTTCTGATACTACAAATCATTTGTCTCCCAATGCTATCCCTATTGCTGAATATTGCTGGAGCAGTGGCCCTAGGAAAAGGAATAAAAAGGTGGTAATATTTACATGTATTTGTTGGTATTGGAATACCTGTAAAGGAAAAGAAACCAGTTCTGAGTTCATGACCTTTCTGAAACATGTAGGAAACAAATATTTCAGTATATTGTTGCAGGAGACAGATGATATCTGTTTTCCATTTTTTCTATAATATCCTTATTTGGCATTCTGGTACAAATATAGGAATAAAAACACAGGAAGTTATAATTCTTCAATTTATACATTTTACCCTTCTACTAAGGTTTTAAAAATCACTACCTTAAAAATTTGAAGCCTACAAGTAGGTCTTTTTTTTTTTTTTTTTTGATTTTGAGACTGATCGATTTAAAAAAGGCAATTTCACCTTGCTTATGTTAGACCTTATGATATCCTATTTTCAAGAAGAAAAAGCAATCCACTTTTGAATGGCAAACTTTTTCTAAAGTGAAGTGCTGAATGTTATTTTTATAATATATTCAAACACACAGTAGCCTAGAAAGCGTCAGTGAAACACTTTCATTTTTTTGGCAAAATAAGAAGTAAGCATCACTGAGATGTCATTATCTCTTTTATTTTTCCTCCAATTTATAATTACCTTTAGTGTCTATGGATTTTTTTTTTTTTTACTAGCTTTGTTTATTTTTGAAACAATATTTGACTGCATGCAGCAGTCATACTGCGGAAGATACTAACAAAGTTAATCCCACTAATTGCGTCTGTTATGTACCCATTTACATTAATATATTTTGCGTATCTTATTTTCAGAGTCAATGAAGTTTATATTTGAGTCAAGAACAAGTTTCTTCTTGACTTTCATTGCTCTTTCCCCTTTTCACGTACATGTTGTACATAACCCATGTACAGAAATATGATTCAAGCTCTGAAGTATAACTATTAACCAGTAGACATAACTCTTATCAAGACCTGTATCATGGGAAAAATGTAATAACAGACTTTATAATATGTACTGGTGTTTTAATGAGGTACTACAAATTAAACTAAATGAGCAATAGTGCCATGTATTGAAATATGTTCAAAGATCTGTTTCTATACTTTGTAAGTATTTCAAGATCTTTGTTCCTTTAAGTTTTGCCTTAAGCATTTTCTTGTCCAAGAGTGTGACAGTAAAGGAAAGTGACATAAAGCTTGGTTGTTACAGAAAATTTCACATATAATTTGTGGTAACAGTTTTTGTTTTCCCCTCCACTTAACTGTCTATGAGATCTGATAAACTGGTGTCACTCATACCAAGTGATCCTGCAAGACCACTAATCAGGTGTCCCATTATGAGTTTTCACTGTCTAAGTATATAATCCAAAATTGTACACAATCAAGTTATCAAGTAAAATCTTTTTTCTCATATTCTACTGGAGTTACATTACACAACATTGGTTGTGTCATTTGGGACACAAATTGGAGCATTTTTTTATCTTGAGGGAATGTTAGATATGTTATCTATAAAGAGGATATTACATGGCAAAATAGTAAGTATAAATAATCTGTTATCTTTACACGGAGAACTGCACAGGAATGTGTGTCAGAAATTGTGATTTTCAAAATATTCTTAAACAATTTAGAAAAGTTGTGAATAGCAGGTAAAGATATATTGTCAAGTTACCAAAACAGGAAAAAGAAAAAGGAAGAAGAAACTGAAAATATGGATGTCATAATACTATGTCATATGGATGACATGACAAAATGAAAAAATGACAATATAAAATATTAGACACAATTCAGTGCAGATAATGTAAAGTATAGCACGTGAGGAAAAATAATTCCACTTTATATTCACAACGATAGGCTCTGAATTAGCCATCGACAACTCTGGCCTGAGATCTTGAGGTTACAAAAAACAAAATCCAGAGGAAAACCATCAGATCAGGTCCCAGTAGTTCAGGAAAGGGAATAAAAAAAGTAGTGGATTTTAGGAAAAGAGCAGAAGATAATGCGCTATTATAATGTAAATATGAAAATCCATGGCACAGGAGACAGACATTCTGGTCTGTCCAGTGTAAAAAAGAATTAAGTTAAAATAGGTATAGAGAAAGTTAAGCAGGGTGATCAGAATTATGTAGTCTCTATTAAATCAACAGACTTGGATCGTTCATCCTGAAAAAGAGATGATTAAGGGGCAAATATGCTAAGAATCTATAAAATCATAAGATATATAGAGAAACTGAAGAGAGAATTATTTGTGCTGTCCATTCTCAAACAAAAACTGGAGAGTATCAAGTGAAAGGAAACAATAATGTACTTAAAACAAGTACGGGAATACGTCATACCATACTATACAAATTTAAGGAGGGGAAATGAGCTAAAAAAATCAGATAGATAAATTAAT